AATCAAAACTGGGACTAATGAAATTCAATAATAACGGCAATCGCATTTAACAGTAACGGCTTATATTTGAATGTACTTTTCATTTATGAAGAATTATAAGCGTGTGTATTATGTGATTTAGCCAATGTACATTTGTTCCAAAGCCTGGCAGAGTGATCACAAGATGCTAGGCTAAAGTGTTGTGTTGTTTACAGAAAGGATGCGCGTTTTCATCTTTTTTTCTGTAAATTATCATGTTGCGCTGCAAGTCTTTTTCTTCAAAGCACCAACTTAGAATGCCTAATGATGGTTTGATTGCTTGTGTTACATGATCAAATAAATAATCTTGCTTACCTAGTACCTTAGTACTGCTGGTGCACGTTTACCAAACAGGACCCGTGCAGGCTTTAAACTGCTTTGCGTCTCTCCGTCAGGTAACCATGTGCGTGATGCGCCATTACAGGTAGGCTATTTCCCTAAACCTCCACACAGCTCGTATATTTTTCTGCCAAGGGGTGAGAACGTAATGATTACAAAAACGATTATTTATTTTTGATAATTATTATTTTATTTCAGTTAGTTTTTCAATAACTTTTGTTAGTTTAGTTTCGTTTTAGTTTTTTAATTATTTTGACGTTTTTATTTTATTTCAGTTTACGAAATAGTTTTTTCATCAATCGTTTTAGTCTTCGTTTATGAAAATAACCTTAGTACACACACACAGGGTTTCATTCATGCTGAAGGAGATCTTTAACTGCAGATGGCATATAAGAAACCCCACTTACACAGACAGGGCCGGATTTACCTCTTTTCGTGACATAGGCAAAACTAATTTTTTGGGCCCCCCTTCCCTATTATTATAATAGGCCTAATATTACCACCACCCAAGCAAACAAAAATATTTCTTAATCAGTGAAACTGTTACAGTGTTTTCTATCGCAATAAGCACCTGCGTTTAGTCAATAAAAATCGAAAGTAGTTCTTAATTTGTTTGAGAACTGAGAAAGACCATTCCATTAATAGGCGCTGCGTCGTGGCCACATAACCACTAAAGTGCATTATTTCTCTAAGAATTTTAACGGCCTGGAGTCACAATTACACATCAGTTGTTCAGATGATTTGTTTCAAGACATCTGACATGTTTCCGTCCTGTAATATCGTGTGTTGAACTAGCTAATTTTTTACACACCTAATCTCAAACGTTTCATTGGAAATTCCAAAACGTAATTTTAGAGCTAATAACAGAGGCTTGAGCCACTGATATGCAGGCTAACGCAGTTATTAATGCAGTCTAACACAGTTAGCCTTCAGGTCAACTGGGAAAAGAGCAAACTCTCCCCAACGCAGAGGATCTCTTTTCTCGGTATGGAGTTGGGGAACGAGGGTTACATACGTAACCGAGACGTTACTGTTGCTCACTTACAGAACATCCCATAGGAATGAACTGGAGATTTCTATTAATAGAATTCAAATTATTTTAATGTAGAATTTACAGAGAAGAAACCCATTTCAGTATAAAAACTTGGCAGATGGCAACAGTTGCCAATGCATGATTGGTCAGTAACATATTTTACATGATTGTAGAACCACTATTTCCAGTCTGTCTAAAAAAACACCATTTAGTTCCTGTTTCGATGAAACCCCTCCTTCTGAAATATGAAATGTGCTCTGATTGGTTAGCTGGCCTAATGTCTTGTGATTGGCAAATCACTTAAGAGTGTGTTCCAGAAATGACACGTCCCTTACCATAAGAGTTTAATATGCTCAGCTGTAAATATGAATGATGAATATGAAACGTGTTTTGTGTTAAAGAGTATATATCTCCCTTTGGACTTTGAGCTTTGTAACCTTGCAGATGTTTTTTATGCTCAAACAGCAACATTAAACAAGAACTAAAGTTAAAAAAATTGAAAAAGCATATGACGGGGCTTAGCAAAAGTTCAATTAATCTGTACAAACCTTCCATCACTCCTCATCACACACACACGCACACAAAATTTTCTCTTGAGAAAGACTCAAAACCTAATCATCTAAATACAACCAATTATACTGCATTTTTAATCAGGAGATTTGAAATTCTGTGAGTGGTTTTTAAGTGATGATCTAGCTGGCAGCACAGCCATTAGAAAATTATCACCTCAGTGCTACTGACTGAGGTTAGGCGCACACACACACACACACACACAAATGGATGCTTCTGCTGCCTATGTCACAATTAAACACTTGTGTAAATGGGGCTCATCTTGTAATAAATTCAGGAGGAAAAGAAATGCACATCTCATCAGTGATGCTTCTCATTTTAACATTTTCAATATTTGAGTCCAATCAAATCAGTATAATTTGATCAGTATATAAATCAGAGTATTTGTGGACTATACGTATTGCGTAGAGGGGACATTTAATGGAAAACAGGATTTTCCTCACTCTTCTGAAATAAAGGATTTTGATGTGCTGTGTCAACGTAATCTAATGTTCATAACACAATCCACCCATAACCCAGTCCACATAGTTATGGATATTAGACAGAAAAATTGGGCATAATGCATGAAAAGAGGCAAATTTTGAAATATAAAGGTTCACAGACAGATTTGCTGGATGTGTGTGGAAACAACTGACCTGAGTAACACAGAACAGTACATTTTGGTAAGAAGCCAGATCTTTAACATGAAAAAAAGAAAGAAAAGATATATATATATTCAGCTATTTTTTATTTTATTATTTTCTAAAAATAATGTATATATACACACATAATTTATCTATTTATAATATAATACAATATAATAATAATAATAATATTATATATATATATATATATATATATATATATATATATATATATATATATATAAAACCAC